CTAGGAAAATATCCAGTATACTAAAATTAACTCAGAAGGAAGCGGAAAACCTTAAAAGGCTAATAGTATTCACATTGGAGAGTGCCTGGGTGGCTCAGTTGGTTGAGTATCTGCCTTCGGCTCAGGGCATGATCCCAGGGTCCTGGGATCAAGTCCCACATCGGGGTCCCTCTTCGGCAAGGAGCCTGCTTCTCCCTCTGCCTGTCTCTCCCCCTGCTTGTGCTCTCTCTCTGACAAATAAATAAATAAATTCTTTAAAAAAAATTCACATTGAAAAGGTAGTAAAAGAACTACCCTTGTTTCTATCTCAAGGCAACAGAAAATGGTGGGAAATTTCTGAATTAATTCTACAGAGATAGCAAAACTCTGTTAACAAAACCTGATAAGCACAGTCATACAAAAAGAAAACTTCAGGCCAGTTTTTCTATTAATATGGATGCAAAAATTCTAGACAAAATGCCAGCAAATAAAATTTAGCACCATATTAAAAGATATATAAAAATATGCATTAAAAAAAACCCCATCATGACCAAAGTGAGTTTATCTTACAAATGTAAACACTTATCTTACAAATGTTTAATGTTAAATCTTTTAATAGAGGGCGCCTGGGTGGCTCAGTTGGTTAAGTGTCTGACTCTTGATCTCAGCTCAGGTCTTGATCTTAGGGTCAAGAGTTCAAGCCCCACATGGAGCCTACTTAAAAAAAAAAAATGCAAGAAATCTTTTAATAGATTTAAAAAAGAAGAGCTACAACCCAGCAATTGCACTACTGGGTATTTACCCCAAAGATACAAATGTAGTGATCCAAAGGGGCACGTGGACCCCAATGTTTATAGCAGCAATGTCCATAATAGCCAAACTATGGAAAGAGCCAAGATGTCCATCAACAGATGAATGGATAAAGAAGATGTGGTATATATATAAAATAGAATATTATGCAGCTATCAAAAAAAAACACGAAATCTTGCCATTTGCAACGACGTGGATGGAACTAGAGGGTATTATGCTAAGTGAAATAAGTCAGAGAAAGATAAGTACCATATGATCTCATTGATATGAGGAATTCTTAATCTCAGGAAACAAACTGAGGGTTGCTGGAGTGGTGAGGGCTGGGAGGGATGCGGTGGCTGGGTGATAGACATTGGGGAGGGTATGTGCTACGGTGAGTGCTGTGAATTGTGTAAGACTGATGAATCACAGACGTGTACCTCTAAAACAAATAATACATTATATGTTGAAAAAAAAAGAAGATAGTAAGAAGGGAAAAATGAAGGGGTTATCAGAGGGGGAGACGAACCATGAGAGACTATGGACTCTGAGAAACAAACTGAGGGTTCTAGAGGGTAGGGGGGTGGGGGGAGGGGTTAGCCTGGTGATGGGTATTAAAGAGGGCACGTATTGAATGGAGCACTGGGTGTTACACGCAAACAATGAATCATGGAACACTACATCAAAAACAAATGATGTATGGTGATTAACATAACATAATAAAATTTAAAAAAATAAAAAGAGCTATGTGATTATTTCAGTAAGTGCCAATAATTCACTTGATAAAATTTAACATCTGTTTGAGAAGGACCCCTTTATAGTCTGAAATAAAAGAAAACTTAACATGATACCTATAGCAAATGTGATTCTTAATTAAAACATTAGAAACATTGCCATTAAAGCCTGGAACAAAAGAGGATATTATTATTAAACATTGTTCTGACAGCCCTACCTAACACAGTAGGATGAAAAACAGATATAAGGTATAAATATTAAAAAGAAAGGATAAAAAATGCTATTATTTTTACACAGTTTATTATTTTTCATTAATCTTTTTCTTGTCAAAACACAGAAACAGAAAATTGCATGAAATAATTAGTGTGCATCTTAATTATTTTTTAAATTTTTTTTATTTTTATTTTTTTTTAGATTTTATTTATTTATTTGAGAGAGAGAGAATGAAAGAGAGCACATGCGAGGGGGGAGGGTCAGAGGGAGAAGCAGACTCCCTGCCGAGCAGGGAGCCCGATGCGGGACTCGATCCGGGGACTCCAGGATCATGACCTGAGCCGAAGGCAGTCGCTTAACCAACTGAGCCACCCAGGTGCCCTTGCATCTTAATTATTAAAAAGCAAGTACTCCTGTATCCATCACCTAGCTCAAGAACTAGAACTCTGCCAGTCAACCAGAATCCCGTCTATATGCCCCCTCTCAGTCGTAACTCCTGCCTCCCCCAAAAGAAACCACTATGCTGACTTTTATAATGATCACGAAAAGTGCTATTATATTCTTTTTCAGGTGCCTTTTCAGAGGATATGATTGTGAAGTCAAGAGACTCACCTGACTGACCTATTAGAACTAATGAGATCAGTAGGATGGACTTCGCTCCTACAATTATTCTCCCACTTTCTAAATCACGTATTTCTTCTGCCCTCCTGGACCATTCTTTCTTTAGTATTTCCTATCTTAACAACAACCAAAAATCCCCCCTTTACCCCACATCCTCCTCCAGCTGCAACCACATTTTTTTTCTGCTCCTCTACAACAAAACTCCCCTGAAAGAGTTGACTCTGGCCTGATCTCACCTCTGCTCATGTAAACTGGATTCCTTCTGTCCCACACCACTGACAATTGCTCTTGTCAGGGATCCCAATGACTTCCCTGTTGCTGAATCCGGTTATATTTCTCTCCTCAACTTGAAGTAGCGTTAGAGGCAACGGACAGTTTTTCCTTCTTAAAACACTTTTTCCTCTTGGCTTCTGGATACCATAGTCACCTGAGTTTTCTCCCTTCCTGGTGTCCATCCCTTCAGCCTCCTTGTCCTCCTCTTCTTAGCCTCTGAACATTGGCATGCCCCAGGGGCCAGTACTGGGCCTCTTTCTTGTCTCTTGATATATTTTCTCCCTAGGAAATTTCACCTAGCCCTGTGATTTTATGTACTATCTTTATGTATGATCATTATACCAGTGACTTCTAAATTTATATTTCTGCCTGTGATCTCTTTTCTGAATTTTGGACTCTCATTGCTTAATGCCTACATGACATTTTCATTTGGATAGTAAGGGGGGCATATCAAACCTAACAAGTCCAAAACAAGTCTTAATTTTCTCCACCTTACCAAACCTGCTCCCCCTCCACCCATCTGCATCTCAGTAAGTGCAACCATAATCTACCCAATTGCCAAGTAAAGAGCCTATAAATTATCCTTGAAACTCAGTGTCCCTTACCAGTCTCCCACCCCTGACATCAGCTGATCCTATCGACTCCACCTCTGAAGCACATCCTCAGGTTATAGGTTCTTCATTCTCTTCATCTGCACTCTACCCGTATCGCATCATATCTCAGCTGGACCCCTTCGGTAGCCTTTCAGCCAGTCTCCCTGCTTCCACTCTTAACTTCTTATACCCCACACCCACAACTAATCTCCCCCTGTCCACCTTAGAACTGGGAGGAGGGAGAAGACGGTGACCGGGGGCTCCTTTAAGCTTCAGCATAAAAGATTGATTTGACTTTATAAAAACAAAACTGTTATAAGATATAAAACATCTGAAATGAAGTTAAAAACATATGAAAGGCTTAGGTGATGGCAATACATATAATAGTTACCATCCATAATATCTAGAGAGCTCCTACTTATCAATAAGAAAAAAATAGCCCATTAAAGAATGAACTGTGACAGGAAATTCACAAGTGAACAAATGTCTGAAAAGATGCTGAGCTCTGCTAATAATTAGAAAACGCTAATTAAAATTAGATATTTGTCTTTGCTACTAAGATTATCAAAATTAAAATGAATAGCATCCACTGTTGGGTGGGATGAGGATGTCGTTTTATATTCTTGGGAGTGGGGATGGAAGTTGGTATCATCTTTCTGGAAGGCAGTCTTGCGGTATTGCACAAATGGGAATGAGTTCTACAGACATGCCAGACTGCATATATGCACACATATTTGAACATAGGTTCTTCATTCAGTTGTCATGAATTGAAAAAATATATCCAGAGACTACTATATGCCAGGCACTGGGATAGCCAATGGAGATTTAACAAAAAAACAACAATAACAAAAACAAAAAAGAATTTTTGCCTTGTGGGAGATATAAGTAAATGAAGTCACACAACTAACTGGGTACTAACTGTTGTGTAAGTGCTCTAAAGCAAAAGGGCAGGGTGTGAGAAAGGGGCAAATGGGGAGCCTAACTTAGACCAGGGGATAGTTTACTTTAGGGAAGGAATTGACCCTCAAGTGAAAACCTAAATGAAGGATGGGAAAAGTTCATCAGGTGAAGAGACGGGGTTGAGGTGTGAGGATGGAGATCTTCAGGGTATGCATGTGAGAAGGGCCTGAAGTGGGAAGGAGCTTTGCAGAGAGGATTAGAACACAGCAGTGGATGGAATGCAGTGAAGGAAGGGAGAGTGATAGGGTAACAAGCTAGAGAGGTACATAAGGGCCAGATCGGAGGCCTTTGCAGATGATGAAAAACACGTTAAAGTTTATCCCATGGCTTTCGGCCCGTGGGCACTACTGAGTAAACATTGTTAAAGTCTCCCCTCCCACTGCTGTCGTGTCTAAACCAGAGTCTCCCAAAGAGCCTGAAAAGCTGCAGAAGCTCTTCGTCAGAGGTTTGAGCTTTGAAACAACAAATGTGCCTCTGAGGAGCCATTTTGAGCCATGGGGAACGCTTGCAGACTGTGTGAATATGAGAGATCCAAACCTCAAATGCTCCAGAGGCTTCGGGTTTGTCACGTATGCCACTGTGGAGGAGGTGGATGCAGCCACGAATACAAGGCCACACAAGGTGGATGGAAGAGTTGTGGAACCAAAGAGGGCTGTCTTAAGATTCTCAAAGACCTGGTGCCCACTTAACTGTGAAAAAGATTTTTGTTGGTGGCATTAAAGAAGATGCTGAAGACCATCATCTAAGAGATGATTTTGAGCAGTATGGGAAAATTGAAGTGATCGAGATCATGACTGATGGAGGCAGTGGCAGAAAGAGAGCCTTTGCTTTTGTAACATTTGATGACCATGACTCTGGAGACAAGACTGTCATTCAAAAACCCCATACTGTGAATGGCCACAACTGTGAGGTAAGGCAAGTCCTAGCTAAGCACGAGATGGCAAGTGCTTCATCCAGCCAGACAGGTCGAAGTGGTTCTGGAAACTTTGGTGGCAGTCGTGGAGGAGGTTTTGGTGGCAATGACAACTTTGGTTGTAGAGGAAACTCCAGTGGGTGAGGTGGCTTTGGTGGCATTTGAGGTGGTGGTGGATATAGGGCAGTGGAGATAGCTTTAATGGATCTGGTAATGATGGAAGCAGCTTTAGAGGTGGCAGAAACTGTGATGCTTTTGACAACTACAACAATCAAACTTCAAAGTTTGGACTCATGAAAGAAGGAAATTTTAGAGCCGGAAGCTCTGGGCCCCATGGTGGTGGAGGCCAATACTTTGCCAAACCACGAAACCAAGGTGGCTGTGGTGGTTCCAGCAGCCGCAGGAGCTACGGCAGTGACAGGAGGTTTTCATTACTGCCAGGAAACAAAGCTTAGCTGGAGAGGAGAGTCAGAGAAGTGACAGGGAAGCTACAGGTTACAACAGATTTGTGAACTCGGCCAAGCACAGTGGGAGCAGGGCCGAGCTGCTGTGAAGAAGACATGTTTTAGACATGTGTCTGGGCAAAAAACTCGAGGACTCTCTTTGTGACTAATTGTATAGAAGGGTATTTTAGTTTCTGTTCTGTGCAAAGTGTAAAGCATTCCAACAAAGGGTTTTAATGTAGATTTTTTTTTTTTTGCACCCATGCTGTTGATTGCTAAATGTAGAAGCCTGATCATTTAAATGTATATTTTAAAAAAATAATAAGGAAACTTCATCCTTTGAATAATGGGGAGCATTTTATTGTTATGGTCAGTGTAGAGACATGATTTTTTTTGCATTTGTAAGGTGTGGCAAAAATGATTGTGTAGACTCAACAATAGTTTTTGGCATATTTTAAAACTGAGAATGGGGGAAGAAAAAGGAAAACCAGAGAGGAGATAATTGCAGTATTTCAGAGACAAGATGGTGGTGGATTGGACTGGCACAGTGGCAGAGGAGATGGAGAGGAGTGGATGAGTTCAAGTATATATTAGAGGTAGAAGAGACCAAATTTGGTCATTTGTGTGATGAAGGAGATGAAAAAGAAGCATATGCAGGAAGGAAGGAGACATGAGGCAGGCAGGGAGATCATTTACCTTTTTTTATTGAGGTGAAATTCACATAACATAAAATTAACCATTTTAAACTGAACGATGCATTTAGTACATCGACAATGTTGTGTAACCACTACCTCTATCTACAAAAACATTTCCATCATCCCAAAATAAAACCCTGTACCCACTAAACAGTTGCTCCTTTTCTCCCCCCCTCTGCCCTCGGCAGCCATCACACTGCATTCTGTTTCTATGGATTTACCTATTCTGGATATGTCCTATGAATTGAATCGTACGATATGTGTGATCTTTTGTGTCTGGCTTCTTTCAGGTAGCATAACGTTTTCCAGGCTCATTCAGGTTGTAGCATGTATTAGTACTTCACTGTTTTTTTATGGCTGAACAGTATTTCATTGCATGTATAAACCACAGTTTGTTTATCCATTTATCCATTGGATGGATGGACCTCTGTCTCTACCTTTCAGCTATTGTGATTAGTGTTGCTGTGGACATTGGTGTATAATGATTTGTTTAGAATCTGTTTTTGGTTATTTTGGGTGTATACCTAGGTGTGGAATTACCAGGTCTTATGTTAATTCTCTGTTTAACTTTTTGAGGAACCACCAAACTGTTTTCCACAACGGCCTAATCATGTTAGGAGAGATTTGAACTGTTGCTTCAGTTCAAATCTCTCCACGTCCTCACCAACACTTGTTACTTTCCCAGGTCCTCTTTTGGATATGCTAAGATGCCAGTGTGTTATGGAAGTAGAGGTATCAAATAAGCTGTTGGATTTAAAGGTCTGGAGTTCAGAAGGAAGGTTTGGTCTTGGAATATATATTTCGGAATTGTTAGCATACCAAAGACACTTAAAAACAGGAAAGAGGAAGGAAAAGGGTATAGACTGAGAGAAGAGGGCCTAGATCCTTGCTCAGAAGAACCCTGGGTGTCTGAAGGGAAGAAGAAGAGGAGCTGGCAAAGATCAAGGAGGGCCAATCCAAAGATACCACCAAGGCAGCTTAGCAAAGGAGAAACAGGAAGTTGGGATGTGTCCCCTCTCAAATATGTCCTGCTGAAGATCCAGGGAGTGCAATGAGGTGTTCTTCATTACTATCCATGGAATCAGTACTTTTAATATCTCAAAAGACACATCTCAGGATCAGAAAACTCCTTGCCAAAGATTTTCACAGATCTCGGGGTGCCTGGGATTGAGTCCCATGTTGGGCTCCCTGCTCAGCAGGGAGTCTGCTTCTCCCTCTCCCTCTGCTCCTCCCCCCTGCTCATGCATGTGCTCTCTCTCTCTCAAATAAATAAATAAATAAATAAATAAATAAATAAATAAATAAAATAAATCTTAGAAAAAAAAGATTTTCACAGATCTAGAAGATAGTACAAACATAAGGAGAGAGACCATTTCCCATCTGGGTACCACTCAAAGCTTCTAATTTTGGTACAGAGGTGTCCATGTCTTAATCTTTGTAACCTATGAATATGTTATTTTTCATGGCAAAAGGGACTTTGCAGATGTGATTAAGTATTTCAAGGTGGGAAGATTATCCTGGATTATCTGGTTAGGCACGAAGTAATCACAAAAGTCCTTACAAATGATAGAAGGAGGCAGGCAAGTCAGAGATAGTCAAAGATGCTACATTGCTTGCTCTGAAGATAGATGAAGGATTGAGACAAGGGAACTTTTTAATTTAATTTAATTTTATTATGTTATGTTAGTCACCACACATTACATCATTAGTTTTTGATGTAGTGTTCCATGATTCATTGTTTGCGTATAACACCCAGTGCTCCATTCAATACATGCCCTCCTTA